TGGCTTTGTCGGTCTCTTTGCAGTTTCATAAGTTTTTGCTTCATTTGAGACTGTGTTGGTTGCACGCAAATTTAGTTTTCTTTTTTAATGTATCTATTGAGTGTTTGACTATATCTCATTATATGAGTTTTTTTAGTAGTTGCTCTGGCATTACAAAATATATACTTAACTTTGCACTTACATTTTATCACTTCAATTGGAATGTAGAAACCTTAGCATCATATTGATTCTTTACTCTCCCTTCTTTGTATTGAGGTTCTCATATGTTTAACATCTATGTACATTGAAAACCTTATCAAACAATGTTCAGTTTTTGCTTTTGTTAATCACTCATGTATTAAAGATCTTAACAGGAGAGAAATAGTTTATTGTATTTACCCATGTATTTGCTACTTCTCTTGCTTTTCCTTCATTCTTGAAGTTCCAGGTTTCCTTCTTACTGTCATTTACCTTCCGTATTAACCAGCTAGGTCTGCCATAACAAAATACTATCGGCTGAGTGGCCTAAATAACAGAGATTTATTTTCTCACAGTTCTGGAGACTAGAAGTCACAGACCAAGGTGCTGGCAGATGCAGGTTCTGATGAGGACTCTTCCTGGCTTGCAGATGCTGTCTTCTCTCTTAGTGCTCACAGGGCCTTTCTTCCATGCTTACATGGGGAGAGAGGGAGCATACATGTGCTCTCTTGTCACTTCCTCTTCATGTAAGGGCACTGGACCTATTTGATTAAGGCCCTACTCTTATGACTCCACTAAAATTTTTTTTCTTTTATCCACTACACTTTTATTACCTTTTTATCGTCTTTAAATATCTTCAAAGTCTTTAAATTCCCTTTTAGATGTTAATAGATTGCTTTGGGTAGTATGGACATTTTAATGATGTTAATTTTTCCAATCCATGAACACAGTGTATTCTTCCATTTGTTTGTATCTTCCTCTATTTTTTTTTCTTCAGTGTCTTGTAGTTTTTCTAGTACAGGTCTTTTACCTCCTTGGTTAGGTTTATTCCAAGGTATCTTAAAAAAAAAAATTATATATATATATATTTCTTTCTTGATTTCAGAGAGGGAGAGGGAGATAGAAACATCAGTGATGAGAGAGAATCATTAATTGGCTGCCCAACTGCACGCCCCCTACTGGGGGTCAAGCCTGCAACCCAGGCATGTGCCCTTGGCCAGAATTGAACCTGGGACCCTTCAGTCTGCAAGCTGACGCTCTATCCACTGAACCAAACCAGCTAGGGCTATTCCAAGGTATCTTATTTATTTATTTATTTGTTGCAATTTTTAG